CCTTTATGAACTGGGGCTTCGCCATGTTTTGCAACCTCCACTGATTGCGTGCCTTCGACACACCTAGTATTCTCAACGGGTTTAAATTGGGAAGTCAAAGCCTCCTTTGCAGCCTTTTTGTTCCTCTGATAACACCTTCACTGCGTCCTTATCATTGGATTTTTCCCCTTATAGTTAGGAGAAACTTGATAATCCTTCGACTCAACCTTCTTTTCTTGGGCCTCAGGTTCATGCACAATCACCTTCCACTTTGGCCTTTTGCCCCCCTTTTGGCTCACTGGTTCCACCCATTTTTCTTGTGGGGTGTCCGGCGGAGGGAGAAAGGTTTTAGGATGAGGTTGTTGGAACAATCTTTTGTACTCCTTGTTTCGTCGAGGGATTCCTTCCCTGTCAAAAACAAACCTTAGGACTAAAGGCTTTTCTTTCTTAAGAGCATCTCTTTTGACAAATTCATACTTCTCACCCACTTCTTCATCACACACATCATTGCATCTTGGGCATAATTTAGCCTTCGACCCTTTCACTCTGCACTTTTCCTGAAAGTCAGCCAAACTCTCTTCAGGTTGAAGATACACTTTCTGCAACCTCTCTTCCATCTTCATGTCGAAACCATCATTATTTCCAACCATCATAACTTCTATGTCACCAATCATTATGACTTCTCTGTCGAGGACCTTAGTAGCTTCGACCATCATGCAATCCAGAGGACCTGAATATAAAGACTCCTCTATTTTCAAAGGATCAGTGTCGACCTACATTTTTTTGCTTTTTGCCAAATTAAAGCATGTCTTCTTTCAAAACTTTCTGTACCAAATCCCTGAAAAGAACACATTGAGAAGTTTTATGACCAAGAAAATTATGAAATTTGCAGAATCCCCTTTTCTTATTTTGTTCAAGTGGGGGATTCTTCAGGTCCCGATGGACCACAATTTGACCATCAGCTACTAACAAATCAAATATTTCATCATATTTGGTTATGTCAAAAGTATAGGTAGTGGTGATGTCTTTGCCATTCTTTTCATTTTCGACGTGGTTTTTCCCGTTCGACGGTTTCAAAAGTTTACACGCATAAGGAGGTCCAAGATAGAGTTCAGCCACATTAAGCTCTGTTTCTTACCTTACCTCATTTTTGTTAGACGAACACTCACAATTTCTACGTAAGTAACCTTCCCTTTTTTGTGGTACTTGTTTGGCTTGGTTTTTTCAACTTTCAAACGCCCGATCAGTCAAACTTTGATATATAATTGAGCCATATCTTTTAAAGATTGAGGATCCAACAATTTCTTCCTAATAGAATATTCTAACGCATTTGCAGCCATTTCGACCAACTCGTATTCAAAGACTTGTGTAAAGCACCGCGCTTTAAGAAGTCTAAACCTGTTAAGGTATTGGTCTATCAACCCAGTGCTTTTTCGTTTAACATTGGACAATTCTGTTAGGCTTATTTTGGACTGCCCCATGTGTAATTATTCATGGAAAAATTTCTCTAACTGAATCCACGTTTGGAACGACTGTGAGGGAAGCATTGTAAACCAAGTGAACGTATTATTTATGAGGGAATTGGGAATATACTTCATCCTCAAATCCTTATTCACTACTAAATCACCAAGCTTTGTTTGGTATCTAACAACATGTTCGATAGTGGATTCTTCGACATCCCCTGCAAACTTAGTGAATTTTAAGAGTTTCCAACCTCTTGGTAACTCCATTTGTAACACGAAATTTAGCGATGGTGAGACATACGTAGTCCTTTGATAGCCAATATTCATTCCACTCCTAACCATTATTCGTTCGACAATGGCTTCTAGGTTTTGTTCCCCGACCACCGCTTCACGTCGAACCTGCCTGACCAGTTGGTCGATATTCTGGTTTCAATTTGCTATTACTACTGGAGGTTATTGTACTACCCTAAGTATAGGATAAAGACACCGAGGAGTCGGTGGATCTTGTTTGAATGTTTCATCGACCACCTCCTCGTACTGCACTGGTTCCTCACGTGGAGGAGGCGCAACTTATCGAACTGACGCTCTTGGGGCACTAAGAAAATCTCCGATACGAGTCATTTGAGTTACTAACGTCTGATAACTCTGCACCGAATTCTCAATCAAAGATTTTAATATGAGACTCATCTGTTGAGTAAGCATATTAACCATTTCATGGTTACTTTCATCCATCTGTTGCCTCATGATTGCAACAATACTTGGGGTGAAAGTAGGCATAATTTGGTGGGAAGATCTCAATCCAGTCGAACGACCAAATTGATTTCTCAATGCCCCTGACACAGATATGGTGAAAACACTGACGCAAAATTTCCCCCCTAAATGTCAGACTACTATTATACAGTCCTGTCATCATCGCTGTTGGAATTCCATATTCATGTGTATTTCTTGCAAAACTAGGCATATACTGCCCAAAAGTTGGAATCACATCATCGCGTGTTTCTCTTGCAAAACTAGGTACATATCCAGTAGTCAGGATCACACCATCACGTGTCTCCCTTGAAAAACTAGGCACATACTGCCCAGAAGTTGTGACCATTGATGGTATTGTAGTTACTAGATGTGTTATGGTAACTATGCTTGGTGAAGTCGAAGACATGACCACCAGACTGGAACCTACACTCGTTGCCGCATTGGTATTTCCTTCCAGATTTTGATCCCTTTCAGGAGTTCTAGAATCTACGATTTTCTACCACTTCTTAATTTCATGCACGAAACAAGAAGACTCAAACACAAACGTGTCCATCAGGTGTACCAATTTGTTTCTCTGTGAAACAATCGCTAGCCTCTTATTAAAGGTTACTTGCAGGATCGACTACGATAATCCCAGACTTAGTGTTTTGAGTTTTTTTTTTGGGTTGAAACTGGTTGATATTGAATAAAAGGGTAAACGTGAAAGATAATTGCAAAGTAAAGAAATTAAAGACAAGACTTGTAATTTTAAAGTGAAAACTGGAAATTGCTATGAATTTAAAGGTGAAAGCATTCATACATTGTTAAGCCTGAAACTCGTTTCTCTCTTAGATGCGAGTACTTTAAGTGTAATATTTCTAAATGTGAAGAAATGCGACATTTGACACAAATACAAACATTTGCTTAAATAGAAATCCTAAGTATGTAACTGTCGACGGTTATTACCCCACGTTGGGGCTTTATGAAGAAACTGCCCTAAACTGCTTTGAACATCCCCACGTTCTTACTGGCTTGCGTGTTGATAATCGTTCCCGCCACCATACATCATTGCTCGTCGATCTCTATGCCTGTCGATGGTTGCCTTCGAATCCAATGTCTTCGTCGACTAGCTTTTCTGGTTGACATCCTCTAACTCGATCGACACATCTTGTTGTTTTCTACAAGCTCATGTCTTCTCAGCCAAATAAACTTTACAACTTAAAGACTTATTTTTCTAGTCGAAAATTACTTGTCAACAACAGGTCAGACTCAAACTTAATAAACTCTATCTCAGCCTAACCTATATCTACTCCTAACATGAAATGGATAAGATTAAAAACAAATGAGTTATGTTTATCGTAAATAGGAAATGAGAACTAATAGGAAGTGAGTAAAACAATGAGAGTATTATGTTTTCAGTGAAGGTAACTAAGAAGTTGATTTTATGTATAAGACTCCTCTTTCTTTAGCTTTATAACAAAAGAAAAAAACAGTTTAACTTTATGGTTTAAAGTTATATTTAGTTTGTTCTAAATCTATATCAATGATGATTGTTAACATCATTCAACAAATATAGATTGGTTAAGCCGACTCTCACATTGTAACAAAAATCAAAACTTGAATTTTAGATGAAAGATACATTTATATATAATTTTGGACAATCTTGTAACAAAAATCAAAACTAAAATTTTAGATGAAAGATGTATTCATATCTAATTTTGGACAATCTTGTAACAAAAATCAAAACTAGAATTTTAGATGAAAGATGTATTCATATCTAATTTTGGACAATCTTCTAATAGAATGTAAGGAAAAGAAAAAAAAACATTTGGTCCAAATTAACAGAATAATATTTAACTTCTTTTTATAAATATAATTGATATTGTTTGTGTAATTGAAGGAACAAATTTCTTTAATGAGAAAAATCAATTTACCTTTTTTTGTCATCCATTTTATCTAAATATTTTTTAATATATTTGTTTATTTAAATTGAAAAATTAGTTTTAACATTCCATAACATAAATATATATTATTAAAGATAAAAATATAATTGAAATCATAATTTTTTAAAAAAATTGTATTTTAAAAGTAATTTTTTTAAAAATTTATTGGAAATAATTTTAAAACTAAATGATTTTTTAAAATTTTGTTATAATTTTTTTCAATAAAATAATGAAATATTTAAAATAACATTTTAGTAATAATTATTAAAACTAAATTTTCATTTAAAATTTTTATAAAAACTTTTTTTATATAATTTTTTACAGAAAACTGTTTTACACTATAAAATTTATTTTAAAAAATATAATAAAACAAACTGATCCTAAGTGTGTAAGGAAAAAAAAAAGATTTTTTTTAAAACTTTATATTATAAATAAATCTTATAGTAAAAAGTAGAAAAAGTGTAAGCCGTTACTGTTAAAAAAATTTATGACCATATAATTATTTTCCATATTCAGCTATTCATCAAATCTGAATTTTTCTTAACCAATAAGAAAACAAAAATGATGAAATTTAATTTAATCTAAATACACGCGGTTAGTAATAATAATAATAATAAATAATTAGTATATTTTCGTCAAAATAAAATAAAATAAAATAATAAAAAATAATATTTCTCTTGATCCTAGGCGAAAGAAAAATCACTTTCTATTCCCCTCTCCCTATAAAGTAAACACTGCAAAGAATCTCAAATCAAAGATGCTCCATTCCTCACACTCAAAAAACGACACTCTTTCATATTAGTATAACAATAATTCTAACCGTATTCTATTCGTATTCGTATTGGTAATACGGTATTACCGTATAATCAATCCCATTCCTCCGTCGATGGCGGACCACACCACCCTCACCTCCCCGTTACTCCCCTCCGACCACCTAATCCTCACCGTCGACTCCGATTCCAGCTCCGCCTCATCCACAACCAACGCCTCTCCAATCTCCAGCCCCTTCACCACCCTAGGTTTCACCACGGGGGAGTTGACTGTCCCGCCGGGGATCACGGTGGACCCGTTCCAGAACTGTAAAGCAGGGATTAACGGTGGTTATGAATGGGTGAAAACGATTGTGTGTATTCCTTTGGCTTTGGTTCGGTTGGTGATATTCGGATTGTGTTTGGCGATAGGGTATGTTGCTACTAAGCTAGCACTTTATCGTTGGAGAGATAAAGAGAATCCTATGCCTAGGTGGAGGAGTCGGATTATGTGGGTCACGAGAATTGCAGCTAGGTTCATTCTGTTTTCTTTCGGGTTTGTACCTTCTGTATTCAATGCATGAATCTCTCTCTTGTTTTATTTTGTTCTTTTGTTTTTACTAGGAATTTAGAGTTAGGTGTGAATGATATAGACTATAGTAATTGACTTACTTTACTTCATGATATAATTGAAGTCGATCTTATTTATTGTTAAAAGTTTAGATCTTACTCAAGTTTGTGTTTGTGATTGCGGTCTGATGCGGTTGCAGAGTGCAATTTAAAACCATGATTAGGATCTTTACTGATTCATTTTTTTTTTTGGGGTAAGTATGTTAATGGAATCAGCATTGGACAAGGTGGCTAACCTTTTTGTTGTTGTTCATGGTAATGAGGTGTGGGATCTTCTGGTTATTGGAGTGGGTGGATAGCTTGATGAATGAGTTAATGGAGTTCTTGGTTTAATTAGTGCTTTAGAACAGGGAAGAGAGTTGAAATGAAATGCATGTCATTGTCATGTAATTGGAGGATAGAATTGGCTTTTGTTTGAATGATTGTCAGTGCTATCAAATATCCTCAATGGCGGTGCTATGGCGGATATACATGGCAATTTTTGGGCTCACCGCAATGGTAAATATCGGTCGGGATTTCGGGTTTTCTGCCATAATCTGCTATAACGGCGCCGCAACACGGCTGGAATGGTGGGACTTTGGCTCTCCGCCATGGAATGCTATCCGCCATTGACAACACGGATGATTATATAACTTTTGTGTTCATTTCTGCTTTATTTATGATAAAATTATTGGTATTTCTAGGGGGGAAGAAGGATAAATCATTGATAAAATGAAATAAAATATGCTTACATATTTTAAACGAATAAAAAATAGTGTTTCTTTATGATGGTAAATTGTTATGTTGTGTCAATATAAACCTCAGCTAGATACTCTGTTTATGCTGTCTTACCTGAAAGGAGAATATGAGTTTTTGGGATACTTTACTCCTTGAATGTTGATTTCAGTTTCTTTGTACATACTCTCGGCTAACCATGAATTTCTCTGTATTGTTGTTTCTTTCTGTCCGTTGCAGCTATCATTGGATAAAACGGAAAGGAAAACCTGCCCCAAGGGAAGTCGCTCCAATAATTGTATCTAATCATGTATCTTATATTGAGCCTATCTTCTATTTCTATGAATTATTTGCCACCATCGTGGCATCTGAGTCTCATGACTCCATACCTTTTGTTGGCACAATCATTAGAGCAATGCAGGTATTTTGTTTTCATGGTCATGTTTTATGTATGCAAATTTCAAATTATAAGAAATTATGGTATTCAACCATTCTCTGTTTTATCCCACTGTTTTTTTGCAGGTCATATATGTTAACAGGTTCTCACCATCATCAAGGAAGCAGGCTGTAAGAGAAATAAAGGTAAAACATTTCTGTTAGTTTGCTTATTGTAATTTAATGTGCATACTGAAATTGTCTCTGGTGTTCGAATGTTAGTATATTTGTCAATTTGTCAATTGATGTTTGCTTACTTACAACCTTTCATTCTCAATTATGCTTGTGGCACAACAATCATTTGGATACTGTCTATGTTCAGGAGTTTCATATTCTTATTTATTGCCTTCATTGCTCCTTTTTTGGAACCAAGCCTTTGCAAGAGTTTCATAAAATATATTTGACGAAACTGAATAGCAGTTTGCAAGAATTAATTTTAGATATTGCAAAATTACATTTGCTTCCGATATTGGAACTGAATAGCAGTTTGCAAAAATTAATTTGAACCAAAAGGACTGAACAATAGATATACTGCGAACATCGTTTCTTCATATAAATCTGTCATGTTATCAATTTTATAAACTGTTTGATATATAAATCTGCTTTTAAGGACTGGAATAACAGAGAAGGGCTTCTTGCGATAGATTTCCTCGAGTACTTTTATTTCCCGAGGGAACGACTACTAACGGCCGGAACCTCATTTCCTTCCAACTCGGTGCATTTATCCCTGGGTACCCTATCCAGCCTATAATTGTGCGCTATCCTCATGTGCACTTTGATCAATCTTGGTAGGCAATTTGTTTATGAAGATTCTTTCATTACGGCAGTTTGTTGGCATAACTTATCACTCATGATGTTTTACATGCATATTTTTAGGGGTAATGTTTCTTTGGGACAACTTATGTTCAGGATGTTCACTCAATTCCACAATTTCTTTGAGGTATACTTTCCTATGGAGTGTGTTTTTCTTTAACGTGGTTAATCCACTGTATTCTTTGGAAACTTATTCTTATTGAAGTAGTTGTAAACTTTCATCTTGAATTTAACAGGTAGAATATCTTCCTGTCATTTCACCCCTAGATGACAAGGAAACCGCTGTGCATTTTCGTAAAAGGGTGAGCATTCTTGTTTTGTTTCGTAGTTTTTACATACAGTCAATGAACTTCTTTATTTATCTTTCTTGGATATTTGAAGATTTTAACTTGGGATCTTTTTTCTTGATATTTAGATCCTTCATATATATTTGAATTCGAACTAAAAATAAGTCGAAAATTCCCCCAACAGTCCGAGTCTCACCTAAGATTGGCCCAAAATCTAAGATGATATAAGAGTCTATCTTAAATCTCTAGACTCTTTGTTGGGCCACCCAATCCATCTTATAAAGTGATGGCAAGATTAATATGGATGCCACATATACTCATAGGAATCAGGCTAGATGGAATGGAGAAATGCTTTAAAATCTAGTTATTGTAAAGTGTCTATCAAACTCAGTAAAATTCTCTTGAACAGCTAGCTGTTTAGACTAGCAATGCTCAATGATAGTGAATGTTGGACAACGGCATGCAAATAGCAGATAACATTAGGATATGCCAAGGTGATAGTGATGCTAAGTTACATGAGTGGATGTTGGAATTCAATGACTAAAGTCTTTTTTTTACTGTGTGGGGGAGTTGGGTGATTGTCCCATTAGTTGGTAATAGGGATGTCAACGGGGCAGGGAATGTTCGGAGGATGCTTTTCTGCTCCTCGTCCCGCCCACAAATTTATTCCCCATCCCCAATCTCCGTCACGGGGGAATATTTTTCCCCATCTCCATCCCCACAGATCCCCACGGAGATCCGCGGAGATTAAATCTTAAGAAAATTTCTATATTTTTTTATCAAAACTATGACACTAGTATTTCGTTATTTTTTCTTTAAAAAAAACACATATTTTACATCTTTTTAAAAAAAAATAAAAATACATCTTGCATCAATAATAAATAAAAAACGCAAAAGCACTAGTTGTTGCTAATATTTTTTCTATAAAAAAAATTAACAAAACTTCTTGCATCAATAATTTACTATCACAATATCACTATCGTCCAGTGGTTGATTATGTGTGAGTGTGACAAATCCATAACTACTAATTTATTAATTGAATGAAAAACATGTTACTAATGGAAGTAAAGTGAATTTGAAGAGTAATTACCATAAGCACAATAAATAAAGGAGAGTGATTGTTGTGATGATGATGAGAACATAGGAGATGATGAATGGATGAGACAAAGATAATTGAGAAAAGAAAAGCATACGATGTGTACATTCTATGTATTGGGTGCACTTTTCTAGGGTTGGATACTTGGGTGGTGAAATAATACATTATATAGTCGGGGAATCCACGGGGCGGAGGGTACTTTACCAATCTCCGCCTCGAAGTGTCATCGGGAGAACTTTTCCCTCCATCCCTGTCCCCACGGGGAAAAAATCTCTAATTTCGGTGCTCCGAGTAGATAATCCCCACAGGGATCTCCATTAACAGATGCAAATTGACACCCCTAGTTGGTAACAACAGTAAAGTATAGTGATGTGGAAGACTCACACTTGAGAGAGATTGTTGGTATTTAAGTGTGAGTGGTTTGTCCCGCATAGACTAGGAATGAACTAAATGAATCATCAATAATCTGTAAGATACTCATATACTTAATGCCTAAAGGTTTTTGGTGGAGATAAAGTATCAAACTCTCTTGGTGGTCTAGGTTCTTTAGTTTGTTATTGCTCCTAGGGCTCTCCAACAGTGACCATAGAAGAAAATACTAGGATTAGTTTACTTAAGAGATAGTTAGAGTAGCAGTGGTGCACCTGTTAAAGGAAATTTGAGGGGAACACGCCTAATATTTCTGGAACACTACATTTTTTACCTTATCTCTATTTATTATTTCTTTTTCATCTTGTCTGTTGTTAAGAATGAGTACACCGGATGATTTGTTGAATTTAGTCTGTATACATGTGAGTAGTCAATTATTTAACAGTCAATATATGGAAAAGTGCAGACTAGCCATGCTATTTCAACTGCATTGAATACTGTCCAAACTGGACATTCTTATGGAGATATAATGCTTCATATGAGAGCACAAGAAGCAAAACAGGTGTGCAGTTTTATTGTTTGTTATAAGTATATCTTCATCCTAGTTCCTAAATACGGAATTGCTTTTTGCATTTTGAAAATTGTTTGCATTCCATCTTTACACTTTGGTCAATTCAAACGTGCAAATCAAGTATCAGATTGGTTGGTATTCAATGACTATCTTTACACATAAAAGTGAATTGTGATGTTAAATTCAGTACCGTGTTATTGAATCCAGAGTGTCATATTTATATTCATTAATTTTGGGATATCAGTACCATTGTTTATTGTATGCAATCTCTATAAAAGGAAATGCATCATAAATAAGTGATGCAGATTTTATGTGATAAACCTATATCTTGTAGGGTGCTAGACATCTGCGTACCTTGCTGAAATTAAAAGGTCCTCGACAAGAAAATAGGTAAAAGCAAGAGTGAAGACTTTCAATTGACTGGTTTTATACTAAAAAGTAAGCGACAAGCATTATACTACTTGAGTGCTATTGATGGCAAATTATGGAAGCAAGCCACAAATTCCGCCGTATAAACGGCATTGCGATGATGGAAAACATGGCAGACATAATAGGTTTTGTGGTCTATGGCAGTTAGCGCAGAATCTGCATTGCCATGGTGCTGGCAATTTGTCAACACTTTACTAGTATAATACCATGTTGAAATCGTAGGGTTTTAGATATGAAAGGGGGAAGAGAATATATTTGCGGTATGATTAAAAAGATTAGGTACTATTCCATAATCATACTAGTACCAGAATACTAGTCCTAATGAAACATGGAAACTAATAATCATGATTATTAGACTTAGACTAATAATCGTAATTAAATAAGGAAGCTAGTCATGAAATATGTAACTCTATCCTAACATATAATCTAAGATTTTCTAAAAAATACTTCAAGATACAACCCAAATATTGCAAGACGTTTTGTATTTCTAACTTCTAAGTTCTAGCACACCAATAAAGTCATAATTCTCACGTGCTGACCTTTCTTTATTTCGTTTGCTCAGTCCCATGATTACACTTTTATAGTTTCAAGGCACCAAACCACCTTTCACGCACTCTTGCACATGTTGAGATGCTTGCTTTGCGCGTCTTGTTTTGGATTAAATTGATATACTGTTTTCTTAACAACCTTAAGGAATGAGGGTGAAGTAGCCAACTAATACAAAATATGGTCATCTTAGGTATCAGGATCATATTAAACATTTCCTTATTTGTCATCTTATTCTGCTAAAAATTCTTAAATGTATTTCAACTTATATTTTTTCACAGATGTTTTGATTGTTATGCTTTTCCCGTTTCGGTGCAATTTGCAATCTATTTTTGTCGTCACTGACATTTTACCTTGTTGATTTTGGCAGGAGAACCCCTCGAGTTACATGGTTGAAATGGCCAAAGTGGAATCAGTGAGTCCCTAAAAACAACTGAGCTAGAATCGATTTTGATTTTTTTTAAAATGTGCCATTTAACATCTTTCCATTATCAGTCCATGTTTATTTTTCTTCATGCTAGTTTGTGTGAGTAGGATATTTAGGCTAAACAGTTCATTCCATTTCTCCTCTAGTATATGAAAATGCCATCGTATCAATATGTTTATGTCAGTGGATGCTAGAGATAATTGCCTGCTGGAAGCCTTTGGTGCTGCTCAATGAATTTGCTAGTAGAATTGCTTTCCATGATGCTTTTGAGTTTATGTTAATTATTTTGTTTCTGGTCTATCTGGACATATAATATAAATAAGATACCTAGTGCTATTAAGATCCCTTCATGATGGGGTCCAGGGAAGGGACAAAATGATTGTGGATCTGTTGTTGACAGCTTGACCTTGCACGTGCAAGAAGCTGATTCCATTAATTGAACATGTGACCTTAGTAACATGTCAGCAACACCAGCAATTGTACCAATGCTTATTATGTTTTCTGGTCTATTTGGTTATGTCTATTATTATTATTCCCTTTTAAGTCCTTTTATGGTAGAAGCAGGGGAGAAATTAAAATAAATTAGGGATGACAGTAGTTAATACATCCTTTCTCTCTGACTGGTCTTCCTGTATGGATGGTATTGCCAATTTAAATTTGAACATCCTTGCATGGGAACGATGATTACCATTAAATCAGAGATTTCCAATTTGATATTTTTTTGTTTGTGATTAATCTTTTTCTTTTAACAAAATTATACTTATAGTAATATTCAAAGGAATGATAAAGAACAATTTGTGTTTCTTTCCAGTTATTTCATATCAGCAGCTTGGAAGCTGTGGACTTTTTGGATAAATTCTTGGCTATGAATCCCGATCCCAGGTACTACTGTCACATTCTTGTAAAAGATATTCTCTTGTCTCTCAGGGGCAAGGGTAACATGGATTAATATGAACTCTTAAATTTGAAATTACCATGCATCTATACTTAAATTAAGGCCTGAACAAGGGGCCGGCGATTCTTTCTTGCAACGAAAAATATAAATTATTGAGATCATAAAGGCTGAGATGAAGATATTAGAGTGTGATAATCAATGCTTTGTAAACTAGATCGGCCGTTGAACTGGTGTGGAGGTATTGGTTTAAAGTTCAATGGTTCCATCATGAATGAATCAAGGCTGAACCACTAAAAATCAATTATATTTTCATAATTACGTATTAGATTTAGTATAAACTAACAATTTTAAGATGTTTAGACACATTAAATGTTAAACTAACTTAAATTGATCATATTATATCTCTTCAAAGATTAATGTTTTTTTTGCATGTATACGCGTCTGTTCTACTTGGCATTGCAGCTTAAATGGTTAAAAAATGTTATTCAATAAACAATTTAAATCATAAAAGAGTTACTGGTCCAGCCAGACCATTCCTTTCTCACTGATTTTGAGATTAACTAGGTTTTTTAGTTAACATGGATACCTGATTGGTTCAATTGGTTAGTCCAACTATAATGCCTTTTTTCTTTATCATAATGACTTTTGAAATTGAACCCATGTTTTTTTGCAAGGAATATCTTTTATTTATTTATTTTATTAGCAGCCGAAGCCTCCTTGTACATTATATTAAATATGAATAATAATATGTTCCTTTGATGTCTTTGTTCATTTATGCTCTCATCTGTGACCTATGCATGTGATGGCATCTTTACCACAAATATGAATGTTTTCTTTTTCACCGATGACTGGTACAATTTTTGGTAATACCTCATGTTATCTTGTGGGAATTGATACAGTTATATTTCCTGTTTGCAGTGGCCGTGTTCAATATCGTGGCTTTTTGAGCGTTTTAAGACTCAGGGCCTGTCCTCTTGCTGAAAAGGTTAGTTACCAAATAACTTAAGATTTCTCAATATCATGGGTCTAATTTTAAACCCATCCAGAATTGACATTTTAATCCTTAAGATTTGTACTAAATTTACCAGCATTAATGTCCTTATATTACAAAGTACTGCTATTTATAGTAACTTGCAATCAGGATGCTGCTGCGAGTTATTATAACTATTTTTGTACTGTTTTTTTCCCCTTTCTTTTCTGCCCCGTACTTTTGGCTTCATGAGATTCCTTATTCCTTTTCCCACCCGTCACAACTGTCTTCTCTCTGTTGCCAAAGCCTTAAATCCAATGCAACTTGAGTTCATTACGCTTATATTTGTCTTTTAATTGTCACCTTGATTGTATCTTATTACAGATATTTGCATTCATTGACGTGGATAAGTGTGGGAAAATTACATTCAAACAGGTAACTATTTCCAATAATTTACCATTTTCTGTGCTATGCAGATCTATCAAATACTACATATAATATCTGTACTGGTTTTCAGCCAAAAAAACTTCTAAATGCATATTTAGGTTTGAAATATCCTTATTGATCATGACACTCTTATGCACATCTTGCTTCTAGTTCTTGTATGGATCTGCACATGTCATGAAGCAGCCAGGGTTTTGTCAAGCCTGTGAAATAACCTTTGCTGAGTGTGGCGGTGCAGTAAAGGGCTACATCGTGGAAGAAGAAGTAATTATTAACTATCATATACCTACTTTCCTTTACAACTTTTGCGGAAATTTGAACTAACTCTAACTTGTTCTTACCATTTTAAAAAAAATTCAGTTACGAGATTCCATCCAATCTGCTCTCCCTAGCTGGAACGAGGACGAGGTAACCCATTTTGATCTATTAAAATGCTTCTCTTCTCTCCGGTCTTTCTGCCACTACATTCTTTTTCTCTTATAGTTTAACTTATATTATCTGCTTACTTGCAGGTCCATCATCTTTTTGTGTTATTTGATGAGGATAATGATGAAAAAATTTACAAGGATGATTTTCTTTCATGCCTCAGAAGAAATCCTCTTCTCATAGCTCTTTTTACACCTCAATCGGAGCTCAAGGAATCATGTGGTAATGGAGTGCTGGAGATTGTTTGACGGATCAATTTTACATGCGATTACAACCTCTGAAAATTTTAAAGATGTTACTCTTTCAGAAAGTTCAAAAAGAGGAAAATGGTAGGGTCCCCTGGGGATTACATGCACATAATATAGGATGAAGAGGCCTAATTCTTTTTTTTTTCTTATTAACTTTCACTCATATAAAATATTATCATTTGTTGAAGATATGTGTTTTCTGGCTTGTTTTAAAAGGGTCAGATTTACACAGCTAGACTTTCATTAAACTGTTTGAGTTTTGGTTGTGGGGGACCATTTTGGCATTTGGGGTCAATATGGTCCAAGGTTTGATCCATGTGTCTGTAACACATTGTCGGTGTATTGTTAAAGGTGTGTTGGAATCTAATGAAGAATGATTTGCAGTCTTAGAAAGCAATTATATTCACGGTCCTTCTAGTTTGACTTAGTGTGTAATTTTGATTCTTTAAAAAAAATTAAACGTTCAGTCCTTCAATTTTAAAAATTAGGCAATAATTAATTCATAGGTCCATTAACTCTAAGCGAATTTTCGCGTTGGTCTCCTAACTAAAAAAATGTTATATAGTGGTCTCTTAATTTCACTTCCATTAAATTATTTGGTACCTTTCGTTTGTTTGGATGAAAAAATGTTAATTATGATTGAAGTGGTATGACATGTATGTAAATAAAAGAGTGTACACTCAACAACAGGGTTTGTGGGTTCTTTTTCATCTTCCTTCTTTGTTTTTCACTATTCATCTATCTTTTATTAGTTTGTGACTTCCTATTCATCCATCTTCATTGTGTTATATTTTTTCTCTAAATTACGCTTAAATTACCATCTTCCATCACTGCTTCAACGTCAAAGAATGCAAGCAGTACTTCAATGTCAAACAACCAAAGTTTAGAAATAAGAGAATGTAGTGTTTTTGCTAAGATGAAACTGTTATTTGTACTATTAGTGATGTGAACAGTGTTAATTATGAGAGCAGAGCAAATTTTTGGGTCGTAGAAATTACAGAAATCATATGAATAAGGGTTGTAATTTCTTCAAGTGGTTAGGTGATGAATTTGTTGATGAAAGGGATTTGAAGACTGAAAAATAAAAGAAGAAAATTAACAAATTGAAGAATGAGACTATCCACACTAGAGGATTGTTGAAAATGTCCATTGTGGTTGAGATGTTGAGCTTAGGGTTGAACCTTGTGTTTGCAACAATGGATTTCAATTAGGATTAGGGTAATTATGTTGAGCTTAGGGTTGAACCTTGTGTTTGCAACAATGGATTTCAATTAGGATTAGGGTAATTCAATGTTATGTTTTCACATTTTCAATGTACTCTTCTATTGGTTTAATGAATAATGTTATTGTCTGTTTTAACACATTAACAATGTTTGTCCATTATTATCTGTTTTTAACACTGATATATAACTGGTATCAATGTTGGAACAAAATTTAACCTGTCAAAATTTTAAGGGACCTTATTGTTACGAATAAAAATAGTTAATAGACCAATGTGCAAGAAACTATAAACTTAAACGACTTTATGGAAACTATAGAGAAAGATAATTTGACATTATAAGTCATTTCAACATTCGTTCACATATCAGAAGCCTAATACATATCTGGTTTAATGTATTGACGTTAGAAACCTAAATAATATTCAATAACAGAATATCATTATAAGGCACATATATAACATTTCAAAATGTGATACAAAAAGACATTATAAGTCATTGTCATTAAGCCATTCTAAGACATATCAATGACATTACAAAAATGCATTTATAAGCCATATCAGTAAGTCATTATAAGACATATCAATAACATTACAAAAAGATATTATAAGCCATGTCAGTAATCTATTATAAGACCTATCAAAATGATATTACAAAATGTGACTAACATCATAACAAACATCATAAATAACATCAAGGTTGACTTGAAACAGGTTTCCCACCCTTTTGAAGTTTTTTCTTTCTTTTTGGGTGGTGGCTGACTTGAAACCGTTAGTAGTTGTGGCTGACTTGTAACAGTTGGTGGTGGTGGCTGACTTGAAACATTTGGTGGTGGATGACTTGTAACAGTTGGTGGTGGTGGCTGACTTGCAACAGTTGGAGGTGCTTGTGGTTATGGTAGTTTTCAGATTCATTCCTGAGTGTATAACATAAGTTTTTATTCCCTCTTTAAATTCATGCTTTGTAGCAAAATAAGTACCTACTTCTCGCATGTAGTATTCCATTCTTTTTGAAAGCTTAAATGTTACAAAACCATCCTTTACAACCTCATCATTTTTCCTATCATACTCATAAGGCAATTCATCACTATCATACTCCTCAATGTCACTTAAACCTCTCAAATTCACATCACCTTCATTCACATCACTTCCATTCACATCACCTTCATTCATACCAATAGACCTCCCCTTACCTTTAGCCTTTCCTTTTCCCTTGCCTTTATCCTTGTCTTTTGCCTTGCCTTTTGCCTTACCTTTTGCCTTGCCTTTCCCATTTGTATTCACTTTCTCATCATCAACTGCTAGCTCTCCATCAATTCCTATATCATTTTCCGTGTCTTCGAAATTGACATTCAAAACATTGTCTTCACTACCCTCTACTTCCACATCTTCAAAATTGGCATCTTATTGGTTATAGTTAATTCCCCCATCTTCTTGTTGGTCATAATTTAGTCCTTAATTGTTTCCCCTTACTTTAACATTATACTCTTGACCCACATTCTCCTCAATGGCACAATTGGCCCCCACATTCTCCTTAATGTTACCATTTGTCTCCTTTGCACCAACATTTTTGTCAATGTCATAGTTGGTCCCCACATTCTCCTCAGTTTCCTTAATTGTTGCCCTCTCTTCAAAAATAATGGTACCATCTTGATTATTACCTAATTCAGGCCCTTCCCTCCACAACATCTTCACCCACAGTGGTCCCATCTTGATTATTACCCAATTTAGGCCCTTCACCCACAACATGTTCACTCACAGTCGTCCCATCTTGATTATTACCTAACTCAGACCTTCACCCATATCATTTTCACATACAATAGTCCCATCCGGTAGTGAAAGTATAGGTTCATCAATAATATTAGGTTTTTAAATAGAATGAGTAACATATAAATGGAATTCCGTAGTTAGCACTGCAATTTTTTTATCCTTTTAGTCCCCTTATCATTTACCAACAAAATTATATCATCAACACCCATATCATCGTAATCCAAAGCTTATTTACAGTAGGATAACCTATGTCTTTTAACTTATCCAATATTTCAAAGTAACTCCAGTAATCAGGATCAACATCCCGAATCTCCTCTAACCCTACATAACATGACTTGGTAAAATTAGCAAACTCCCTAGAAAATTCACCTGAATGATGAATATTACAATGAAACTTCTTCTCCATGACCTATTCAACATACATATGATAGAAGAAGTACTAAGGAAGTTGGGTAAAGAAAACAACTTACATTTTTAGTCACTTAAGGTTGAGTATTAGTACCTTAGGGCTTCTCTTTCAAAGGTTTGATGAGTGCAGTTCGTCTTTAATAGGGGTTGCAGATAGTGTCGTTATCGTCTTTAACAGAGGTTGTCTTCAATAGAGGATGTAACATTATTGTCTTCAACCACATTGAACAATACTTGAGTTCTTTAAAAATTAAATTTGCCCTAAACATCTTTCAGCTTCTTATTTTTTTATTGTTAATATTTAAATTAATATTTTATAAAGAATTTCTAGGTCAGCTTTAAAACGTCCAGCAATGTAATCTTTAACACTTTTTCTTGACAAACTAATGGAAGAGATCAAAATATGTAATGGAATATAAGTTAGTGGACTACTATGTGATATTTTTTACTTAAGAAATCAAAGCGAAATAATGAGTAAATTTAAGAGACCACAAGAGGTATTAGGCCTAAAAATCAAGATAAGATAGCCTTGCTTTCATTTCTTATATTATTAAAACCCTCAATTTCTTATTTTTAATAAAAAATATTTTTGAAATTCTTAAAAAAATGATTCTGATGATGAATTTGACAGCTGAAAGTTTTGATATTAGAAAGGTTTGGTAGGATGAACTTAGAAAGGGATTTTTTAGAGTTCATTATTTAGGTTGTTCACTACAATCCATATAGTGACCATACACCCTATGAAAACTCCAAAATGTCTTTCCTATATTTCAGATTTTAAAATTCGTGCACGTCTATTATACAACAAAATCATTTCATGATCGTGTCTCACGGTGGGTACATAAGTCGAGATCCACCAATCAACCATCTAAAGTAGAAGACACAAATAAGGGTTGTGTCTCACAATGATTGGAATAAACCATAAAACATTTATCATTTGACACAATGAGATCAAGAGTAGCTTGAAATGGCTCGGTTGTCTGATCTCTGAATGGGGTAATCGAGCATGGACATGTCAAAACCTTAGAGTAATCTTTCACATACGCCCAAGTGACGAGACATGGAAGATATTGGTGGATCCATGTCTGAAAATGGAAAATATGAAATATTAGTAACAATGTAACACATGCATTATGATGTTAATATTAGTAAAAGTGCAATTTTTTTTATCGTAAATAAGCCGTTATTTCCTATCAAATGTCGAGTCTTCCATAAACTATCCTCAACTAGTATAGAGTAGATTCACATTAAAAATAAAGCCACCGAGTTGTACAAGTGAGTTCTCTAAGTCAAGGCAATATTCAAGGTAGTTAAAGTTGACATAGGTCACTTTTTATCCATAAAAATGGTCGTGCCGACCAAAATCGAGAGGTATGACCTAAATAAACTTGCTCAGTGGAATGCAACCTATGATTCATCACCATCGGCATCCACAGTTGTAGCCATGTGGTGTTATACAAATCCACCAAGAATGAAAATTTAGCATGATATCCTTTGGTGTCATCTGTTAGACTACGACGACTAATCCAGAGGGGGGGGGGGGGGGGGGGGGGGGTTGAATAGATCCCTAATTAAAAATCACCTTTCAAAATAGGCATTTATAAAC